TGACAAATTCCCCTCCTTTTCCATCAAGGAGATAATTTCATTTTAATGACAGTTTGTCTGAGACAGCCTCCTGACAGCGTTGCCATAAATCCACAGATCACAAGTCTGCGCCTCTCTTCCTCACCTTACCCCCAAGACACTTACCTCCCCTTCCAAAAAAGGTGAGTCATCCTCCACCAATCAAAGAGCCGCACAAATAATCACTCACCTCAGACCTCCCCTGTTTTTGATTTGCACGTTTGATAAATAGTGTCTTTTTCTCTGCTTTAATTGCAAGCTCTTTTCATCATAATTTGATGTTTGTTTCCTGTCGTTTTCTAGGAGATGGCCGCGAGCGCGAGGGCTATAATTTCTACTTCAAGGAAGTTGTTAAGAATGACTAGCAGGTGGAATAGACAGCAGAGGAGGGATTTCACCAGCAGACTCACCTGGCAGGTGAATTTAAGACAAATCATCGCACTGAACAGGCGGCGGACGCTCACACATGCAGACAGAAACACACACACACACACACACACACACACACACACACACACACACACACACACACACACACACACATGCATTCACAGCACGAGGCGCGAACGGGAGATAATTAGGGTAATTTTTGTTTGAAGTATTGTGCATTGCAATGAAAATAGAACAGATAAAAGATGATACAATAATAGATCTAAAGAGGACCTTGACTGAGTGTTGTTCCAACAAAGAGCATTTTGTTTGACACAATTCATATTGTCTGCTAAACTGATATGCTTTCCCAACTTTACAAGAGGAGGAAAAAAACATCATCTTAACAAAATGTGCTAAATTTGCATTATGCTCATCAACACTCTGCATGTCGCCACGATGTGTAGAACATTAATGTATGATTTTGTTCTACAGATTGACTTCTGGTTTCTAGATAAGGAATGAAAAACCGCTGATGATAAATTATGCCGTGTGTATTGATATATTCCTTCCTTATATAACATGCAAAATGGAGTATCTAAAGTGAGAGAATACTGAATTCAGGTCACCGCGCAGCAGGAAATCTTCCTTTTCATGTGAGATCCAGAGGGGTCACTCTTATGAACTCATTAGCAGAGAAATGCTAATGTAGCTCTGTTTTGTCCTCCTCCTCTCCTCCCTTCTCTCTCCTTTTCAACTCCCCTGGTTATTTTAACAACCAGGAGTGCGATACACCGAGCCTCGCTGGAGAATATCATGTATTTTGATGTCAGGAGAAAGTGTGTAAGGTGGCTCTGACAGCGCCTTCATTAGAGAGGCTGTCGCTCGTCGCCTTGTCATCAAGTCGCTTGACTAGAGTTATAACATAGCAACACAAAGCATCGTCTTTATCTATCCTGGGTTTTCACTGATGTCCTTATTCTACTGCTGTAAAAGGATTCATTTAAAATAAAATAAAAAGGTGAAAAGAAAATGTATATTGCTGAGGAAAATACTGAATCAGTGTAGTATCGTGCTGAACAAATGACCCCTCCTCACTTCTCTGCAGTGGTCTCTCATCATGCAGCAGAACACATTAAATAATGAATCACTCACAAACTCTGCTTCGCTTTGTAAGAACAGAATATACAATTATATAAAGGTTATTGTGTATATAGGGTTATCTTTAAATGTCCGAAGCAGAAGACAAATCGATACGCCACATGTTCTTCTTTTACAGGTTAATACAAATCAGTTCAAAGGGTTAATCAATATATACGTTTCATAATAATCTAATGTTTGCACCTTGTCTTTTGTTATTTAACTGACTCTTGTACTTTTTTGGGAGAAAGTGTTATACGTTGTACCTCATCTGCTTCTTAAAAATGAACTGTCCGTTTTATTTTATAATTCAATTTTCTAGATTTTATTTACAACACAAAGCAACGCTGCTGTGTGCACACATCGATTATTAATCATTACCAATATTATATCTATTTTCTCCATTGAGTCACAAAATGGGCCGAATGGACAGAAACATGTATAAAGCATTTTGATATCACCAAAAAAAGAGGTGTTTCATATATTATCTGCATTAAGAGATTCTTACTTCATTTGTTTGCTTGTGAAAAAGTCATTCACATACCAAATAAAATTACAATGTGTTATTTTAAATGGAGACTAAGGCTACTAAGGGTCAGATCTATATTTTTGTATTGTTAAAATCCCTTGTTAAGATCCCAAACAGAAAAGCCATTTCCTATAATCATTTAAACATCATATTCATATCAATTGACATGTCATAAAGTATGAAGATTATTAAATCACTTCAGTTTATTCTTGGAGCTGTTACGAGGGCCTGAAGTATCAAAGACCGCAAAAAGGAACAATTAGGATTAAGGTGATATCCTTAACAAAGTCTTATATGTTGTATTTTATAATATTTTTCTGTGCCAATAAACCAAAGCCAAAAACCACACATAAATCATTTAGTCCTGTGATTTATTTAATCTGTTTCATTTTTGGATCTCTTCACCTCTTACCTCAGGCCCTGCAGGCCTGTACTGTCTCTTTTTAGTATCTTAATAGGCCTACCAAAAATCGTTTTACCCTCTGATTTCCCCTTTTCACTCAATGTTATGATTAAAACCATATCCAAGGTGAATGCTGCAAAAGACACGGAATATCAAAATAAATTCCAAGGCAATGAGGTTGTTCCCAGCGTGGTTTAAGGGTAGTGGTGGATGAAGGTAGCATCATTTCACATCGTGCCAGGAAAAAGTGGCGGATAATTAAATGAAAGAAGAAGTGTAATTAGGCAGAACCAACACTTTCCCCAGAGTGGGAAGGGAAGCAGCCAGAGTTTATACCTTGTTTCACATTTTCTACTTCTGGCTTTAAACAAGAAATATACTGAAGTTTTAATTTCAATGAAAGGTTTGCTTGTTCGGGTCTGCCTGTGTGAAATCTGTCTAATTAACGCTCTCTATTTCAGTGCTGTGTTTACACGTGTGTGCCTGTATGTGTAAGTGCAGTGGTGGAAAGTAACTAAGTACATTTACTCAAGTACCATACTTAAGTTATATATTTAAGGTACTTGTACTTTACTTAAGTATTTCAATTGTTTGCTTCTTTATACTTCTACCCCACTACAAATTAGAGGTAAATGTGGTACTTGTACTCCACTACATTTTGTTGGTGCCTTTGCATAAATGGATTAATGATGTGAAATATAAACAACACCTAAATAAGGCTTCAGTTGCACCTGGGGTAAAATTCACATACCCTGCCTGCTGTTACTATTTTTACTTAGTACTTCTTCCACCTCTGCTTGTCACATGTTTCTACTTCAAAATGTTTGGCTTGAAACAAGAAATATAATGTTTAAGTTTGTATTTCAATGAAAGGTTTGCTTGTTCGGGTCTTCCTGTGTGTGAAATCTGTCTAATTAACTCTCTCTCTTTCAGTGCTGTGTTTACGCGCGTGTGTTGGTGCCCGTATCCCGCGTGCGCGTAAGTGTGGGCGCGTGTGGGAGCGCGCGCTTTCCGCTATACTCTGGAATGCAGCCAGTCTCTTTTGAATCCACACTCTGCTTCCAAAACCCAAAAGCCTTTGATCTTTTTTCTTTTTTTTGCTGTCTCCTTACCCGGAAGAGAACCCCTTCTCTCTCTCTCTCTCTCTCTCTCTCTCTCTCTCTCTCTCTCTCTCTCTCTCTCTTTCTCTCTCTCTCTCTCTCCCCCCCTCACTCTCTCTCCCCCCCTCTCTCTCAGCTGGGATGAACGCACACGTGGAAATGTTGGCCCGGTTCCACACTCGGACCAAATTTAGTCATACAAAGGCAAGGGGAGAGCGAGGTGGGGAGGAAGGGGTGGAAGAGGGAGGTGGTGGTGGGTGGGAGGGGGAGTTGGGGATGAAAGAGCCAGCCGCCGAAAGATCAAAGGCAGCCGCGGCTCCGCCCCGCTAACCCCACCTCCGCGCTTTATAAAGATCTGCCTCCCCATCCCAACTTTATTCTCACGCAATCTCTCCCTGCGCAGACACACACAGAAACACCACTTCTGCTGCCTTTCTGTTTATTTTTATTTTAACTCTATTTTCTCATTAAGTTCTTATTTTCTTTTAATCAATTCCCCCAATATTTTCGTTGCTCTTCCCGTTTGTCATTTTTAATTAATAACACACTTTATTATTAATTTATTTTGTGTATGTGGGTGTGCATTTTTGTTCAATAACACTACGTGATGGTGTGCCATTTTTTCAATAAGGCTACAGTGTTTTTGTGTGTGTATGTTTCCGATCAAATGTCATCCTTACAATTTTTTTACATGATAATGGATCGCATATGTGTCTGAGCAAACGTTATGTATGCTAATTTGGGGTTCCTAACATGAAAACATTTAGGAACCTCTGGCCTTTTCTCAGTTATTTCGTTTGACCCTTAGATCATTTTTGTTATCTAGCTATGGGACAAAAATACAATACATTTTATATTTGACATATTGTAAGAAGATATGGAAAGTTAGAAAAACCATGCCCTTGATTTGACCAATGCAATTTAATTTGAAGACGGGTACAAAATAAACATAGAAAAGACAAAAACATTCTAATGTTGTTGAATAAATACACAATTAAACAAACAACAAATCTATGACCTTATTGTAGTACGGTGACAATGCATAGACCAAATACAAGCCCTCGATATTAGTTTTCTTCTTCCAATGGGTATTTCTACACAAAATCACGCTATTGCCAATTATTGCGTTTTTGATTAAATTTCACCTCTTCTCAGTCTGCCAAAAAAGCTTGTCTTGTTTTTCCTCTATTTCTGATATCATTTTTATTTATCATGATTGTTTTTAACCCATTACACACACACACACTCAGCCTCAGCTTTCCTCCTGCCTGCCCATTTGTTGTGAGCTGAGTATAACCCTCTCTCTCAGGAGGAGTGTCAATCAGAGCCTCGGCTTCCCTTTCATCTCTCCTTCCTCCCAATGACTGAAGAGAGAGGAGGAGGGAGCACGGCTACATTACCAACACACACATACACACACTGCTTACATTACACTGTGGAAGCAGTGCGGAGCAGTGGGAAGTCGGTCCACGGCGTTTTTCCTTCTCTACTTATTTTCTGATTGTTTTATGACTTCTCCTTTTATCCCTCCTGCGTTGAGGATGTATTTTGAAGCCGCGTGCAGCGTTGCTCGTTGTCTTATCTGAGTGTCACAATTCTTCCAGTTGCACATCCATCCTTTACCTTTTCACCTCCAGACGGTGTTTTGGTTTTGTTAGCTCACTTTTTTCCTTACATTTTTCCAAGGACGAAACATCTTCTGCATTGGACCACCGAGGAAATATTTCTCACTTTTATAAAAGCACTTTTCTTTTTTACTGGACCATATCCGTCGTCGGTTTGGTGTGTGTTGACTGAAAAACTATAGTGATGAGATTTTAACTCGTGGTTTTGTCTTCCTTTTTTATTTTTGCCTCATGACATTGAGGCGTGCACCGGACTCTCTTTCTGAGCCTTTAAAACTCAAGTGTTTAGGGTGTGAGTTTATGTGTTTTTTAGTTTAAACACAACCACAAACTCCTCCTGTTGCTCCAGTGAAAACACACCAGCAGCGTGTCTGCACGCCGCTTCCTCTCCGACTGACTCACCGGTCTACGCTCCGGTTAAAGACGGGGACTCGGTTTCGGGGGATTTTAGTGGGAGTTTTCTCCTCCGTAGTTTTGGACAGTGCTGTGCTTTCAGTTTTCTTGGTGAAACAGAGTTAAAAACAAATACAAAATGCCACAGTTATCAGGCGGCAGCGGAGACCCGGAGCTGTGCGCCACGGACGAGATGATCGCGTTCAAAGACGAAGGAGACCCGCACAAGGAGCAGATCTTCGCCGAGCTCAGCCACTCGGAGGAGGAGGGAGACCTGGCAGACATCAAGTCATCTCTGGTCAACGAGTCAGAGAGCAGCCCCAACAGCAACAGCCACGATGTGAGTAATGTACTGATGTGGTGAATGATGAGAAAGAGAGGCATCAACTCTGAACTCCAACAGAGAGGAAACAGCCACGAGAGAAAAGTGTTTTTAATCAGTCAGATACCTGGCTTTCATTTAGCTTTTGGCACTGTTTTATTAAACAGTACTCTGGCTTTGTCTGAAAGCTGTGATATATTAAAAGATGGGGATTGCTTCAAAGGGCAAATTGACAACAAAGGCCTACAATTAACTTCCTCCTGCTTAGATTTATATATGTCAAGTATTGTTATACAAAATATGTATTTATATAAAACATAACAAGCTGAGTTCAGATGCATTTATAACCTCTTTTTTTAAATCAAAAGCTTTGATGATACATACTTGGTCTGCACACATTTAGCCTACTCATGTAACATTTGAAATACCCAATAATTATATTTTTGGAAACATTAATGTGCAGTGAAATTTGAAAAACAAAACGATTTGTGACGATGTGAGAATTGAGGCCTTTTGTGCTGCCTGTGACAATGCAAGCTTAACGCTGTTTGCAGGGGAACACTGTAACCTTCAGCAGCTGTAAAAACCAGAACACATTATTAATATAGACAACATATATTAATAATTTATTTTAATGGGCACACTTTGTCAAATAAAACCAAAATGAAAGGGCAGTATTTCCTTTTTTACCCGGATGACAATATATTCCTACGTCATTCTCCTATTTCATTATTGTCGTGTTTGTTAAATGGTTCCCAAGAATGATTTGTGCTTGCGTTGGGGTTAAGAAAAAAATATTCATGTTTACATCTGAATTTGTTGTTGCCTTTCCTTACTGATAATATAAAAAGGAGGCAATACCGGCAAATCAGTAAAAACAATTGTAGAACTATTATTTATGAGGAATTTATGTTTCTAAAATTATTTATTTCATACCTTATATTCCCTACATGCAATCAGCCAGTTTACAAGCTTCCTCAAGACAGTGTAGTCAACAAACGTCACAGTTAAAATGTGTCTTTTCTCCTGCATCAGTCTGCCTCGCTCCATCCTCAGGATACAGGCTGCAGCTTTCCCATCACAAAGTTAGACGGCTCTATTTGTGATTAACCGCAGTGTTAATGACATTTCGGGCACATCCTAACGAGACTGTACATATTCCTCATCGAATGTCCTAGAGACGCACGAGACAGAGGCTGAATGTTAATTAGGAATCCAGTGAAGTTTCCTCTCTCAGCTTGAAGCCATCCTGAGGGGACTGAACTCCTAAAAGAGGTCCTCTTCCCAATTCTGATTCAGAAAGAGAAAAAAAGAAAATGGATGTGCGAAAAGCGTGGTATTTTTTTTTTCCCTTCTTCGTCATCTTCTATTTTCATGGGTTGATTTTATTTCACTTTGCACTGAGGCTTTTCATTTGTAACACAAATACACTCCATTTATTTGAATTTAGAAGAAGGCTTAAACTGAGAGATGAATTTGAGAGTGGACCTATGGTATTGAAAAACAAGTTAATTTATAATCTCCTTAAGGACATGAAACTTAATTAAGTGGTTATATTGAAGCTTTGATGCAGGCTGCTCCATCACCTCTCTAGGTGTGTGTGTGTGTGTGTGTGTGTGTGTGTGTGTGTGTGTGTGTGTGTGTGTGTGTGTGTGTGTGTGTGTGTGTGTGTGTGTGTGTGTGTGTGCGTTACTGCGTCTGCAGGCCCTCCTAATTGATTCACCATCATTTCAATGTTTAATTCTTCCTTCTCAAATTAGAGGTAAATGTGGTACTTGTACTCCNTACGTTACGTTACGTTACGTTACGTTACGTTACGTTACGTTACGTTACGTTACGTTACGTTACGTTACGTTACGTACGTTACGTTACGTTACGTTACGTTAGTTACGTTACGTTACGTAGTTAGTTACGTTAGTTAGTTAGTTAGTTAGTTACGTTAACGTTACGTTAGTTACGTTAGTTAGTTACGTTAGTTAGTTACGTTAGTTACGTTACGTTAGTTACGTTAGTTAGTTAGTTAGTTAGTAGTAGTAGTAGTAGTAGTACGTAGTAGTAGTAGTAGTAGTAGTAGTAGTAGTAGTAGTAGTAGTGTGTGTGTGTGTGTGTGTGTGTGTGTGTGTGTGTGTGTGTGTGTGTGTGTGTGTGTGTGTGTGTGTGTGTGTGTGTGTGTGTGTGTGTGTGTGTGTGTGTGTGTGTGTGTGTGTGTGTGTGTGTGTGCGCGTGTGCGCGCATCAGCATGTGTTATTGCGTCTGCAGGCCCTCCTAATTGATTCACCATCATTTCAATGTTTAATTCTTTCTTCTCCTATTTTCTTTTTCTACAGGGAATGAGACAGTCTCAAATGTCGCAAGATTCATATCACGAAAAACACAGAGACCACATGGAAGAAGGTAAGTGACACCGCCTTTAGTGAGAGCTTGTTAAATCAGCATGTTTTATATGACAGCCAGCATGCAATAAAGCCTGAGATTTTTTTGAACAATTCGCCGCAGCTTGAGAAGTGGAGGTTTTTAGGGGACACACAGGAGTCACACTCTTACTCTGTTGGTGCTCTTCTTATCAGAGCCCCTATCCCTGCTGCTCTCCGACAGATAATCTCTGATCCAAGTCTAGTCAGGACATGCTTCACCTTCATGTACCTGTTACCTACCTGCTAGATGAGGGTGCCTGCAGAACCAAATGATAGTTAAATTAAAACATCTCAAGTTTGAATTCTCAGAACAATCATTATAGCACAAGCCTAGAATTGAAAATAATTCATAATCACATTTCTATCTCTTGTGTTTATTATTATGCAGTTATCCGAACAAACAAATTCCCCACATGCATCAGCTCTTCAGTGCAACATGTTGCTGCCGCTCGGGGGCTCTTTGCTCTCTGGGTATTGTAGTCTGACCCCGCTGCTGCAGGTCATCATTAAGGCTTTGAGGAGGAGTGTGTCTCCTCTTTGTTCCCCTTTCACCCCTCAATAGCATCCCCTCAAACCAAACACCGGCTTTCTTCACAACAAGATCCATGTAGCCATCAGGCAGTATACCACAAACACACCCAACCCCCCACCCCCC